TCACTGAAAAGAAATTGTTGAATGCCCAACATGGTCACCAAGGGCTCAACTTTTCCATTGAAACATAGCTCCTCCAGGAGCAGCAAGGCTTTGTACCACCCTCAAGATGTTCTATCTATCTAGCTTAGGATTTTGCACTGGCAACCATTGTTCTAGTAGTGAAGTCTGAATTCCTCAAGCACCATGCTCCTCATGCACAGGGGCAACATGCCTAGAAATGCATGACATTTCATGTGGTTACACTCTATGTGCAATATTCCCACCACTTTTGAGATGCGATGAATCCAGAGGAAGAGAGCAGCCCCTTTTCTCCCCTGATCACGGGGCGGCAGTTGTGGCTGGCCAGACATACAATGGAGGTTTCTTGCACTTTCTCACCAGATGCACTAATGTAAGCTACAGTCAAGCCTCAAATTAGGTGTCGATATAATGATCTAAGTAGACATCTGAGGCTTAGTCCAGCTTTCATTGAAATCAATGGAAACATTATTATTATTATTGAGAGTCTAATAAGACTCTTTGAGGACTCATGAGCAATGCTGAGTGAGGAACCTCTAGAAAATTGTGGCCACTAGGTGAAAAGCTCTATTGAAGAGGAAGAACTTAAAAATAAAGAGGGAGAGCTGTTCTGAAACATCATCACAACAAAGTCTTGGCATCAGGTTACTTTTATATTAATAGTTTTCAGTTTACACTGATGGGGACGGGAGGGTCCAACAGAATGGTAGTGACTCAAATTTCAGAGGAGTCAGATTAAAGTAATCAGCAGTACTAGTCCTGGTAATAACCAAATTATTTAGTTAAAATGAGTTTAAGAATTGTGTTGCCATTCTGTTGCTGTTAGTGGGATGGGATCAGTAAAAGTCAAGGTCATTTTCAGAACCAGTAATTGTTAACAATCTTCCTATCTGAGACCTATTTATAGAAGAATGCTGGGAAACTGTCAATGAACTGTGTTATACTGTGGCATTTTTAAGTATTCCTCATGACTTGGTACAGGCTAAAAACCAAACTGCTTTATGGCTGTCAGCAGGAAAGACACGTGTTTTACAAAATGAGAAAAATGAGATTTGACTGAAACAGAAGATTGCTCTTGACATCATTTTAGTGTATTAATATAAGAAATAATGGGTCATCATCAGAGATGTGCTCTGGTGTACTGCTTCAGAGATAGCGCCCAGCACTGATACCAAAATCAGTCATCTGAAAGATCTTGAATATGCTAGTGGTGTGATCTTGCCTGAGTACAGGCCAAATGCTAACAGATGGAAGTGAAGAGGGGGGATAAAGAATCAGCTGACCTGCAACAAAATGTGTGCCAGTGTCAAAAAAGGACTTAAAATATGTTAGTAAATGATGAAAGTGTTGACACTGATGACTTCATGTATGCTACATTAATATAGAAGATAAGCAAATCAGTCAGAGACATTTGGTGCTTGTATAAGAGGAACAGAAGAATCACATGTGAGAAGAACAAAAGAATCACACTATTAACCAAGAAAGGGTGGGTTTTTTTGGTGAATCAGTTATCAGGATTGCTGATAAATACTAGAAAAGGCTAGAATTTTTAAAAGGGAAAAATATACAGTGTATAAAATATTGATATCTGAGATGGATTTTTTAGGGTCAAGTACCAACACAATGGCCAAGGAAAAGTGTAATTACTGTGGAGTATGTAGAACAGAGCAGAACATCTGATGATGCTGTTTTGAATATTTTTCTAATTACCAATCAAAGACCAATTAGAAAACAATTAATTTTATTACTACTAGATTAATGTAACTGAGCTTACCTGAAACTGCACAAGCAAGCTGGAGAACAAGAATTCTATTTTTTTTTTCATTTCACAAAGACTCCACCCTACAAAGCTTGCAGAAGGGTATTGAATTACAAATGTTACATCAAAAGAACAGACTGAACATATGCTACAGGCCCGAGTGTTAGCTGTGTGGAAGCAGTGTATGATTTAAAATCTTTCTTGACTGTCATATACTACACACGAGGGAAAAGAAACTGCTCATATCTACTTCATGTAACATTTTATCAAACACTGCAAATGTCATAAATGAAGGTAATTTATCATTATTGAAGATGCTGCTGTGCAGTACTGAAGGAGATTTTCAGCAGGTTAATATATCACAGTGTGAAGTTCATAGTGTGGCAAATGGCGAGCACAGAAGTCTATCCTAGCAGAAGTATCAAATTCTCACTGTGCAGACTCACCACTAAATGGAGAAGAAAAACAAATCCTAAAAATATTTTGAACAAGTATTTTTAGAAATGGGTAAATATCCTACCTTCCCTATATTACTGTTTTAGCTGTTTATTGACTGATCCTTGCATGCTGCTGTGTGAAGAGTACCAGGCAGAGGGTTTAATCATAGCAAAAAAAAAAAATAGGGGTGGAGGGAAAAAAGAAAAGAAATGCAGCAAGCACACCTCCTCTTCCTTGTTATCAGTGCCACCCTAGCCTATGAATTTCATGAAACTGATTCTACCAGAGAAAATCATGATAAACACATCAGGTATCAATCTCTGAAACAGACTATGAATTCATGGTGGGGCTACACATATATTTTCAAATATGTGCTAGTTTGGTCCTGAGAGAATCTCAACACCTATAGTCCCAGACCCTTACTGTTTATAAAAAGCACTTGAGATCTTTAGATAAGACAAGCTAAGTGGTTTATCAATTCAAAGTATTATATTCTGCAAGCTACAGTTTCACATTTCAGCCCTAGAAATGTGCAAATTACAATGTGATAATGAGAATAGTAATGCATGTCTCTGCTGCCTTCATAGAATTTAAGACCAAAAGAGACCACCAGAGCGGCCAGCACATCCCTCGGCCCGCGCCATTTCCCGCCGCCCCCATTGGCCCAGAGCGGCAAACCGCAGCCAGTGGGAGCCACGATCCGCCGAACCTGTGGACACGGCAGGCAAAGAAACCGGCCCAGCCTGCCAGGGGCTTTCCCTGAACAAACAGTGGACCGGCTTTGAGAACCACTGCTTTAGACCAGTGGTGGGCAACCTGCGGCCCACGCCATTTCCTGCAGCTCCCATTGGCCGGGAATGGCGAACAGCAGGCACTGGGAGCTGCAAATGTAAACAAACTGTCTGGTGGCCCACCAACGGATTATGTAATTGTAGAGCAAGCATAATTTTACAAGTGGATTGTAAGTAAAGATTAAGTGCAAAAGGACTGATCCTATTTACCCTTTTGGTCTGGTGTGGCAGTTCCTATATTCAGTTCAGGGAACCCACATATTCTCAGCATGTCACCACTATTACAAACGTATGCCCTTGCATTCTCTTGAAATTTCAAGTCTTTCCATTGACTTCAATGAGATTTGGATCTGGACCTAAATCCCAGTACACATGGGAGCCACACACCTGATGACATTTCATTACCAAATAGTGTGAAATTCATAACTGTTAGGCAATCAGAGTTCAGGATTAATCTTTTAACTTGAGAGAGAGAAACAGACTCAGACAATAGTGAATATTCTCAGAGGCCTTTGCTAGACAATGGGATCACAGAAAGAGAGCAATTACATCATAACACTGAGTACAAAGATAATTTTGATCTACACTGTTTTCTCCAAGACATTACAGGGGTCTTGGACATTGGTACACCTTGGTCCGTCCTATCCTCAGCCTGTGGCACAGGGTAGTCTAGTCTCCTATGGGCTGTAACGCTTTGGTCTAATTTTGCTTGTTATGTTTAGTATATGGGTGCTGGGTGGTATTGGTGGCCTGAGATATACAGGAGGTCAGTCTAGAGCAGTGGTGAGAGAGTTTTCTAAATATGTTGTATGTGTACTCTGGCCAATTTTAACATTTACATAATCCTCACAAACATTAACTAGTTAACCACACACCTCACAAGAGGAAATGAAGGGACAAAGGTTAAGTAATTTAACTAGGGCCACAGAGCAAGTCAGAGTGAGGATCAGAATCCAGAAGTCACCTTAGTACTGTGCTTAGCACTGCTTATACTAAGATGCCAGAGGCCATGGTGGCTGCTCTTCAGTGTTGTGGGTTCATTTTGGCTGGCTGCCAGGAGTTTTGGTGGTCTAGGGTCAACATCAAGAGTTTAGGCTACACTGCCCCATGGTCACGCATTGCTCTGGCTTCATCCTAGAAATGGAATGACATTTGATCATGTATTTCACAGATCCCCAAAATCAGCCCCATGCTAGAGGGAGGAGACCATGCAGTACCAGTAGGCTTTAGGGAAAACTGGTGGCACATTTTAAACCTAATGATTCCTTTGTTTTCAAGGCTATCTTTGTCAGGAAGAGAACTAGAAACTTACTGTTGTCCCCTCCCAAAATGTAAATAGTGACTAGCTCTGAAATTCTGATGTGTTGAAAATCAAGGGGGAACATGACCACATGGTTTACAAGACACAAAAGTAATCTCCAGTAATCTCTGCATCACTCTAAAGGTTGCATTTTTGAGGTTTCTCTCTTTGTGAGATACAGAACTTGAATATTAACTCATATATGTGCCTGTAAATTCTATTACTGAGACCCTAACAATCTGATGTCTACCTGTCAATGTGGGTTTGTGTACAGACAAAAGACAGCTCTTTTGAAAATATGGCTCTAAATGAACCAATGTATCGATCGGTTTCTACTTGATTTAAGCTGGATGATCTTGTCAAGTGATCTCAGGCTGTCTCCTAGCCCTAAAATTCCAGATCATGGAAAAATCAGATTTTGGATTCAGCCAAGCTGTTCAGTAGAAAACAGACTGGAACCTATGAAAATCCCATTTTTATTAAGTAGGCTGCCTTTTACATTTGATTTAAAAAGACTAAGAGTTTATAAGGTTCTTTTGGAATGTTTAGAACTGTGGATTGCTTTTAATGACTGTTCAAGAATCTTGTCTATTTCTGCTCTGTCCTGCTGAGTGTTACTAGCAACTTGTGTGTCTTTGCCTTTCAAATATTGCCAGAGATTTCTTCCCATCTGTTTGTTTTGTTTTGCTTACAGTGATATTTGTATTTATTAACTTTAACTGAAGGACTGGAGGTCTGAAAAAGATACCTTACAATGAGAGACTGAAGGGGATCGATCTATTTTGATTATGGAAGAGAAAGTTAGGGGGCAACTTGATCAGTCTGTAAGTACCTACACTGAGAACATATCTGATACTAGCAGGCTCTTTAAAGAAGCAAGGAGAAGTATAATAAGATCAAAAGCTGGAAGTTGAAGCTAGAAAAATTCAAACTAGATATAAGATGTAAATTTTTAACAGTAAGGGCAATTAACTACTGTATTGTATCAAAAAGATGGTTGAGTCTCCATCACTTGATGGAGTGTTTTTTAACTTAAGACTGGATGTCTTCCTAAAAAGATATGCTCTAGTTCTACAAATTATTGGGCTAGATGAAGGAATTAGTGGGAGAAATTCAGTGGCCTTAAAATCTAATCTTTTATTAAAGCAGGAATCCTTTTATGGCATTCATTTGTTTGGAAAAGTGGAAAAATACAATGGCGATTTATAAAGGTCATGTAAACAGTTTTTTGTCATGACAATTGATACTGTAATCCTTGATACTAATATAATTGCATCAACTATTAATTATGTCTTTCAGGCAGTAATCCAGATTGCCACCTGCACTATGCTATGACAAGGCCACCTGTAACAGTCCATGCTGCAGCTGTTAGATTGTTATGTCAACAATTCATGTATGAAACAAAAGGCCATGTTTTCTTTTTTGAGGTTTTTAAAAGTTAGACATATGTTCACAGGATAAATACAATAGTGAAATAGCCTTGGGTCCTGGAAACTTTATATTTCTATTTGTAGAAATGAAAAGTTACAATCACTCAAATGCATGTTCTAAGCAACAGAATTCAAAGATAAGAGGACTAAGAAGGATTATATGCGTGTCCAGTAAGGGAACGTTTTATTCTGTTGGTGGGAAATGCCTAGGACAGGCAGATGCCATCATGGATGCTTCAGATGACACAGAACAGTTAGCAGACCTCTGCCTATTTTCAAACATGATCACTTATAGATCTCACTGATCAACAGACATGTTCTCTCTATTTAAAATACTCATGATTTTACTCCTTTAGATTTCAACAATAAAAAATCAATTTTTCCAAAATTATGTGTGACACTGCACCCCATATTCTTCATAGTGGTAATATTCTGATATGATTATGGCATAATTATGATGCATTTTGTACAAGACGGAGCAAGAACAGTGTCATTGGAAAAATTATGATTTGCTGAATATGATCATCTTATTTGTATGCATATATCATTTTTGTATCTGAAGTTATGAATATTGACTATGTATCTGAATTTCACATATAGTCACACCTGGGCAACACCCACTAGGCAAAATGCTTCCAGTGTAGATTACTGTCTGGGAAGGGCCTATTCAAGGTAATGGACCATTAGGAAAAACAATAGGCCTTAGGAAAAGCTTATCCCTCACCTGATGAGACTTCCTGAGAATGCACCAGACACCCTGTAAGTAATGGCTGCTATGATTCAGCAAGGTATGCAAGGGTATGACCAGGCCACATGACTCTGGACTCCATTTTGGGATGTCTGTATTTTTCTACAAACTGGTCTGGGAACCAAACTTTGAAACAAAGGGTTCCCATCATACGCTAAAGCTATATAAGGCAGGGAGTGACATCATCTGTTGTCCCTCACTCCCCCACAACTGAACACCTAAGAGAAGCTCCTAAAGAAAAGGACTTGGAATGAGGATGGGAATTTGGATTCCAAATTGCACAGCAAAGGCAGCTAGTCCCTTAAGAATCTGCAAGCCTGCTTGTATCATCATCAGTCAGGGTGAGAGACTGCTAATTCATATCCAATCTATCTAGTATGTTAAGCTTAGTTTGCATTTTTGTTTCTTTGCTAGATAATATGCTTTGATCTGTTTGCTATCCCTTATAATCACTTAAAATCTATCTATCTTTTATAGTTAATAAACCTATTTTATGTTTTAATCTAAACCAGTAAGTTTGGAGTGAAGTGCTTGGGAATCTTAGCTCAAGGGATTGTTGCATTTCCTCTCTACATTGAGGGGGAGGTGAACTGGATAATAAATTCATACTGGTTGGGGTTTTGATCTGGGGGTCCTAGACTGGGAAGCTGGTGGTTATTTTGGCTGTAGCCTCTCTTTTGTTGGTTCATGCAGTGTCTTGTCAGAGATCCTGCATGTAACTGCAGCTGAGTGTGTCCCTACCCGTGTGAATGCTGGTGGAAGTATAGGACCAGAAGCAGCTCTTCAGCTTGTCACAGCAGCCCAGTGTAAGAGGGAGCCCAGGCTTATGAGTCAGAGGGCTCAGTGGTACCCCAGTTCCAGGTGGCAGCCTGGGGGGAACCTGTCACAGTATGGACCCACTAAAAGTTACACTTATAATCACAAATGATGATCACCCAGCAGCAATAAAATAATCACAAATAATCAGTTAACTCAGCCAGCCAATATGGAAGCAACACAGCCTCTTTAAACCCTTCAGCAATTTACCCTCAGGCTTTTCCCAGACCTTGTGTGGCTTTTGCAACCCACCTGGAAGATCATCAGGTTAAAGCTATTTCAGAGCAGAGCTCACTACAGCTGTACCAAACAAGATATTGTGCAGAACTTGTCAGAAATTTTTCAACAAAACAGTTTTCCATCAGAATACAGATTTGACAGGATCAAAAAGTTCCACACAAACGTGCCAATTCTTTCAAATTCTCATGGTTACCAGGTTCCTTACTCTGTGACAGCCCACCAGGCAGGTTTCCAGGGGACCGGGACTCTCAGGCACCATGGTTCCCTGGTCCTGCAGCAACCCACAAGGTAGGCTGCCACAGAACCCAGGCTCCAGGCTTCTAGTTTCAGCAGTCTGCCTGGCAGACTCCCAGCTCCTCAGCAGCTTGGTGAACAAGGAAATCAGATAAGATGCTCACTCAGTACTAAACAGAATAAGAGCTGTTTTGAATGATTTTAGAAATAAAAATAAAATTGAAAAAATACCAGTAAAATATAAAAGTAAAAAAACATTAAATTTAATGAAAAAGTCAAATTTGAAACATTTCATGTTGAAAGCACAAAACATTTTCAAATTTTGAAACATTTTTTTCAGAATTACTGTTGAAGAAATCTGAAATTTCCAATTTTGTTGTGAATGAAAAATTTTATTATTTCAGAATTGCCCATGGAATAGGAATTTTGAGTTTAAATCAGCTGTAACAGTGCACAACAACTTGGGGAAGAAGCCGGTGCCCAAAAAGATGCTTTCAGATGTGATAGTCCACAAAAAAGTTGAGGACTCCAGAAGGGAAGATGACACCCAGAAGCTGGGCTCAGGCAGTAACAGAACAATACTTGTATTTTCTTTTACTTTGGATCACTATGGGATTGCTCACATGCACAAAGTAGCCTATATGCCTATTAACAGGTCTGGAGCCTTTGAGTGATATCCAACCGCAACTGGTTATCAGGAATCTTTTCATTGACTCCAGTGGGCAAAGGATCAGATCCTTTGTTAGTGAAGCTACATACGTACAATGAAAAAGTCATGTCACTAATACTACCAGAGTTTTATACAAATACTATATGCACTTTAAAAATATCTGCATATTAGATATGTGCAGGATTACACTCTCCCAAACCAGCTGCTATATTTGGTCAAAGAGCTATTCATGGTAAAGTACTAGTGTATAAGCATGGTATACAATGTAGTCTTTTTAGCAGATATCTTGCTATGGAAATGTATTTCTAGAAAACTTGGCATATTCAATCTTGTTATCATACAAGATGTTTATTTTCAGCTTAACATGAAAACATTGTAGTTCAAAAAAGTAAGTAATATATAATAATATAACTTCATCTTCATCTCCAGCTTCCTTTGGGGTTGTGTAAATGCTTTTTGGGTTTTCCCCACTTCCAACTCTATTTTAAATAAATAAAAAGATGAAAGACTTGTTAAATTATGGACAAATATGAGATAGGGAAGATAATACATTAAAAACAGTTAAAGGACAACAAACCTGTATAACTCCAACAGAATGTGGTTGAATTTAACATTTGATTGCTTTAACAGGACACTGTTTTCTTTGTGATTATGTAAGTAGCAAATTCATAGTGTGGATTTTGCTCAACTGTTAAATTCAGGAACCAAGATAAAATTTCCGCCAATATAAAGAGAGACTCTTCTTCAAAGGATACTTTTCAGCTAGGATTGTTTTTCCCCATGGAGTGCCACTTAAAGGGGACGCAGGATGGTATAGAGTTCTTCAAAAAAGCATGAGAAAGAGGCTGAGCATCAAATAATTTTTAAATGGACATTTACTCTTTAAATAAACTGGTCAGCAACTCAGCTTCCCTCTTCCTGTTCCTGTATATATATATATATATATATATATATATATACACACACACACGTATATATACA